TGATTCGTAGCTGTTAACTAGCCAAACAGCTAACATTAGCACTTTGTGGCAACTGTTAGCTGTTAACTAGCCAAACAGCTAACATTAACACTTTGTGGCAACTGTTGTTTGATTTGGCGCTATGCAAATACAACTAAACTGAATTACACAAAATTTGTGTTGTATCCAATCTTCCCACATGATTAATTTATGTTCTCAACATAACGTATGTAAAAAAAGGAAATCACATGTGTAGAAATCCTCCAGCTTTGCTCAACCTCATTGAAACCAGGCTGTGGAATCAGGGGCCACTGTATGCTTGGTAAACACTTACTGTTTCATCACCCTTTCTGACTGTATTAGGGACTATAATTCACAAAATAAACAGCTTTTTATATAATAAGTCTTAAAACAAGCAATTGAACTGGTCAGGAAAATGTTTACTGCGCATTAAGAGCAACGGCCATTTTCCCATAGACCCCAATACCACAGGCGCTGCCCCCTGGTGGTCACATAAAAAGAAAAATGAAGGTTTCAGGCACATCCATATCACTTATCTACGGAGCCCCTCTGATGACATGGTCCTAAAAATAAATAAATTGTGGCCACAAAATACTACTTCGTGGGCACGAAATGGGTATAATATGCCCACGAAATACTTATTTGTGCCCACGAAACACTTGATCGATTACCGTGATCCTTCCCAGGCCCTTGCAGTTGGTTGACAATAAAATCTATCCCGGCGTCCAGGTCGTACTTAAGTCTGTAAAGCAACTGGGCTTTTTAATTAATAATTAGGCGTGGGGGGCTTTGATGGTAAACCGGAAATATATCAGAATAATAGAGTTCATAAAATTATTTTTCCTCAGGCTCAACCACTTGAATGAGACTGGATCATAACCAAAAACCAAAGTTAGAGAAATGCACAAAACTCAGGTATAACCTTACTCATTACACCCCTGGTGGTGAGTAACACTGCCATCAGTATGATTACTGGCTCTTGAATGGACTTTACATTCATTTCTGATGAAGCTGAAAAGTCCATCAGAGTCAGTTTATTTTATTATTTTATCCCATAATTAAGTTTGGATTTTTCTGAACCTCAACATTCAACCATTGTGTTTGAAAGAAGCAAATCCATGTAAGTTGTTTATCTAAATGTCGGCCTACTGAGAAAGAGCGTATTCTGATATCTCAGCAGAGGAGAAAATGTATGAAATGTAGAAACAGAGATTCTGAACTGTCTGAAGCACAACATTTTTAAGCTTTATGCATCTTCAGGGATTTTAAACCTTCCGCTGGGCCGAACCCCTGCTGGACATTTCAGTAAACATGCATCGCATGAATCTCTGGTTACCTCTTTCTTAGAGTACCTGTGCTCCTGAAAAATGTAGAAGACGGAAAATAAACACATCTTATTTCTTACCGTTGGCTTTCGTCATCAAAGTTTCAGAAATTGAGTTTAAATGACATCTGTGGGCCTTCGCTAACGGCCCCACTGATTTCCACCAGGGGATAATTCGCAGTCGTGACACGTCCAGGACTCACCTCTTCGTTTCTGCAGCGGTGCCAGAATTTTAATACGTTTTGCACAGCGGGGGGACGGATTACATGGAGGAGGCTTGCAAACCATCCTCAGTTACTTTGGGATTTCAAGGGTCCTGATCTCCATTTGCTCGTTGGAACCGGGGATCAAAAGACGGAGGGAAAACAAAAAGAAGAGTCTTTGCAGGAGGAGATCACATGAGCAGATAGCTGGCTTTTTTCTCTCTTTTCTTTATTTCACTATCACACTGACGCCTCTTATCTGGAGACAATCCAGTGAGTAATCTCATATAATATATATAATGACTGGATGGAAAGTGAAGGGTCAGCTGAGCCCGTTGTGTTTGAATCAAAGCAGCTCAATAGCAGATCTCTCACCAAATCTCCTCTTATCTTCAATGGTTAATATCCTTTGGTCTCTACTTTGTAGACTGGCGGAGGCAACAGAAGCCTCTGTAACCCGGCTGCAATACCTTCGAATGATTGGCAACTTCTGTTGTACGAACGATGAACTGTAACAGATGTGGTTTAGTTTCAGATACCTTGACAGTATTTTGTGCTCCTTCGTAGCACTTGAGAATTTGCTTTGTGACTAATTTCTTGTAATTTCACTTTTGCAGATATGTTTGCACAGATTCTGTTGAGAATGTAAAGTATTTGCCCTGTGCCACCTTAACTTGCTTAATTTCCCAATCAGGTGTTTCGTATCCATGAGCATTTGTGGGTGCAGGTTTCGTAAATGGACTTCGAGAGTGGGACAATCTGTTTCTTGTTTCTTGGATCCTGAAAGAGTCGACACTAAAACAAATTTTTACTCTGAATTGGCGAGTTTTAGTTTAAGATTTCCGTTAGCTTGTTATTTAAAGAAGTCAGACTTCCCTCTGTAATACTTTGGTATTGAACATTCTTTCTTGTGTTCTCCACACATTCAATTCCATTTTATTTATACAGCGCCAAATCACAACAACAGTCGCCTCAAGGCGCTTTATACTGTAAGACCCTAGAATAATACATACAGAGAAAAACCCAACAATCATATGACCACCTATGAGCAAGCACTTTGGCGACAGTGGGAAGGAAAAACTCTCTTTTAACAGGAAGAAACCTCCGGCAGAACCAGGCTCAGGGAGGGGCGGGGCCATCTGCTGCGACCGGTTGGGGTGAGAGAAGCAGCAGGTGTTCAGTTGCTGGCGACTCCACACGTGCTGTCGTTAAGTTAGGAATCTCTCACCACTGGTTTAGGAAGGAGCTTTGCAGTAATTGCACAACTGTTAATGAGTTTATGTTTGTGGCTTCCAGAAAGATTTTGCACATGTAGTCCTACAGCATCACTGCGTAACGCTGCATTCAAACTATCACAGCGATGTCAAACTCATTTAAGTGGTGAGACACGTGCAGCTCGCTTTGATCCACTTTAAGTGGACGGGACAAGTGAAACTCCCCTCGCTGTCTTCTGTCTGTCTTTAACTACACATTTAGTATCTCTGCAATATCTTAATATAAGAAAACAAAATGCAGTTTCAACTGTGGGTCTTTGTTTAGGAAGGTTTTAAGCCTAATCTTAAAAGTAGAGATAGTGTCTGTCTCCTGAATCCAAACTGGAAGCTGGTTCCACAGAAGAGGGGCCGGAAAACTGAAGGCTCTGCCTCCCATTCTACTTTTAAATACTCTAGGAACAACAAGTAAGCCTGCAGTGCGAGAGCGAAGTGCTCTAATGAGGTGATGTGGTACTACAAGGTCATTAAGATAAGATGTGACCTGATTATTTAAGACATTCACACAAACACAAACAATCTATTTTAACAAAGTCATATTTTAAATGCACATAAACTAGACTCATTTGGCTTTCACTGTTCCCTGACTCTACTAGAGCAACTTTACATGCAAAAAGTTTGAGGTTTTGGTGCAGCCCTTTCTTACATTGTGCTTAGCAACAACCTCCAGCACTCGCCAACCGGATGACCGGGGGTTGCCAGGTGTTCACCGGCTGCTCTGTAGACCTGTGGGACTGATGCATACCATTTAACCAACCACATTAAGATGAAATTTTACAACATGAATGTTTATCCCCTGTTTTCAAAGCCTGCTTATAGAGTCTGTGCTTTGCTTGTAATGTGGCCAAAGTTGTCTTGCCAACTCGCGAATCAAATTTGACTCTATTCACGTTCAATTTTTTAAACGCGTGTTTTAAATATAAGTTCTGTAAGAGCACTGCAGTGCACAGTGTGCAGCTGTATTTTGGGCGATTTGTGACTGTCTTTCCTGCACTGAAGAACCAGTGCAACCAATCACACACCAGTCTCCGATAATACCGATAGGTTAATGTGTTTTCTGACCATCTGAATTGTAAAAGTGTTTGTCTCTGCTATTTCCTGGCATAAACTTAACATTTCTGTCACAATATTGGATGCAAATCACAGAATCCTGCTTTGAAATGGAAATATCCCTCATGTCATTTGCATATTCAGTTCTTCGAGGCATTCTGGTCAGTTTGCATTGGCTGCAGTTACATACTGAACACCCTTTTGCTGTAAATATCTAAACAAACTGCTCAATTGTATGTATGAATTCTGCACATCATGTTAGCCTATGGCTTAGTTTGTATTACTAATGCTGAAGTCAAGTCTCAACCAATATCACTGCATTAAAAAAAGATTAGAAGAGATTAGAGGAGCTGCTCACCCAGAGATACAGTTTAATTTGTCTAATATGCTCTGTGTACAGTATTTAGAGTTTGCAACTCTGTGAGTGTGAAACAAAATAACATCTTTCCTCGCACCATCAGGTGTGCGTGTGATGTTTAATTTTTTCCCCCGCACGCAGCCATCTCGCCATATAGATAAATACCAGGTGCTTGTTATCAAGCTGCAGGTGTAAGAAATAAAGTGGCAGGTGTTGGACACACACAGCAACTCCTGTTCAAGGTTGAGCCCCATATTGGCACAGAATAGACGGAGACAGCAGCCTGCAGAGGGTTAGCGCGTGTAAACGCTCAGACTCGATGTTTGGAACAAGAAGAAAATATACATACAGGTTGAATTCATCGTGTTACCGTATCGTCTGTATGTCCTCCTTGAATCCTGTGAAGCTGTTTTTATGTAACTGCATGCAGACTCAGATGATTCTGGGAAAATGAGTCTGTTTCACCTTAGTTCGCACAGATCTGTGTTTTCCCATCATTTGGGGTTATTTCAATAAATGCAGATCTAGAAAGTGAACCCTGGGCTTTGCATATTTAATCACAAATATTACACTTTCATGTTAAATGAGTGCAAAGTGCTGTTTGTTGATACCAGACTGTCAAGCAGTAATTGTTGCAGTGATTGTGCTCCAGCAGCATCAACACTTTATTCATTTGAAATTCACATCTGTGATCTGTATTTTCTGTAATGCAATTTGGCTGGATGTAGAAATAAAAATAACATATGTATGTGAAGATGATGCCCTAATTGAGAGCGTGTCTGTCTCCTGCACAGGATGGGATGGGAAACCTCAGAATAACAGAGAAGGGCCTGAAACTGGAGGGGGACTCTGAGTTCCTCCAACCCCTCTATGCCAAAGAAATCCAGTCCAAACCAGTAAGTGACTCGCATGAATGCACACCTTACATGGTACATACTGTACTGCACACATCCATCCTGCAATTTGACCCTTTTTTAAACATGGATTAGGCTACGGAACATTTGTGCCTTCAGTAAGCTGTTAAACTGGAAGCTTTGTCATTCAGACATGGGTGACTTTGCTATTAATGGTCCTTACAGCTACATTCATGCACACCATTTAAGAAAGAGCCATGAAAAAAGCAGTGGTATGAGCACAATATTTATCTTCTAACATGGGAGTCTACACAGTAAAGCAAGTGAGTACATCCTTGCTGTGACTGACGATGACAAGTGGTGCAGGAATTTTCCAAACCATTCCTTTAGGACAAGAAGCAATAATGATGAAAACACCGCAGTACACCTAGAACTGTAACATGGAAAGTTGTGCATGAAGTATTAGCAAAAAATGTTCTTCTTCAGAAAAATGTTCCCCATCAGCGTTAAATACATTAATATTACTGTTGCATATGTTTAAGATTGAGCTCATTTTATATACTTAATTCTGTTTAATATTCTGTAAATCCTCCTCTACCTTCTCTACATCACACACTTTTAAAAAGGTGGCTAGCAAAACTAAACCCATCTGTTATGATGCTAAATCACTGAAGCTTGTTTAGCTAATCATTCTAGCTGTTTCGACACAAAGCACAGCAGATCTCAGAGTAGTGAAAGCTCAGCCAGCAGCAGCTGGCTTCCCATCAGTTTACCATAGAGGTTTGTCCACAGTGCACATGCACAAACCACCACTCGTAAAACGGAGACAGCTACAGTTGCCTATAAGTACAAAACAAGTGATGCAACAAGCTACAGTAGCCGACTGCAGCCAGTAAAGGATGGACGCAAACTGGTGAGGACATTTATGGCGTTATTGTCTAAGATGGAAGGAGATTGTTTTACCTTGACAACTATTACGTTGTGTCTATTTTTAGATTTGACAAGGCAAGAACAGTTTGCCTTGCTTGTCCTGTTAGAGCGCCATTGCTTTATATTCTTCCATTATGGCAAAATACTGTGAGTTACTGTATTTAGGTCTTGTGATATCACCTTCAGTGTGACTTTGGCTCATTTTGTTATCCAAACCATCCAAAACAGTCAAACCTGGCCCTACAAATTCCCGTAGCACAGGGAGTCAGCGTATCTCACAGCAATGTGTGAAATGTGGTTAAATCACCATTTGAAATACTTTAAAATCAGCAGCAGCAGCTCATCGATACATTAGCACTTGGTCTTTTTTATCACTCATCACATGAACTAAAAACTGCTTTGCAAATTACCTTCTAGCAAAAATACAGTTTGTCTCATACTTTTTAGTGCGCTGTGAAACACTTGTTGACTGATAATACTCGAAATGAGGTGAGATTGAGAAGGTGTGAAGTGTCTAATGATTGTAGGTGTGGTAGTGGGAATTTGAGCTTCCTACAGTGAGAATTAAGCATGTGAGACAATCCAGTTGGGACTCCGAGTGCTATCAACCCAGCTGCATGTACGACAAGCTGAGTTCAGCAAATGCCTGAACCTAAAAAGAAATCCAAAACTATGTTAAAACAGGTTATGTTGAAGCAGGCGCGTGCTCTCAGAAGAGTAACTGATGATCTGACTTCCTTTTCCTTCCACATGTATTTGGGTCAGGTTATAATGCCAGCAGGCTAAAGCTCAGTAAATCTACTATTCTCATTCACGCCTCCTCTGGAATCCTGAAGCATTCTCAAGTCCCATAAGATATGGCTGTCAGCCACTGCATATCCTCTGAGTCTGACGTGTCCAAAACCTCGACATGAAGAGAATTCCTTTGAGCTTAATGAACAGAGCTCGTGGTTTGACCTTCTCTCTAACGCCTAAGTCTGTGTCTCACTGTTGGGGCCATATTTGAGGCCCCAGGTAACAAATATCATACTAATATAAATATATTTTATGGATATTAGCAATTTAACAGTTTATAACATATATAAGGGAAATCTTGTGTTTAGTAATAACACAAGACAAAGTCTGTGTGCCTCTAAGTTGGGATCAGGCCAGGTTACCATCAACTCATGTTGTGTGCTGCTAGGTCACAACTGGATTTTAATTCTCACTGATTTTTTTTTTCTAACAATAAAACTGAACCACATGTGTTATAACAAACCAAAAAGTCAAGCTGTCATCCTGTTAAATCGTGTTATATTGTAAAATAAAACAATATTAGATTAGAATGAATGTTTCATGGCATCAGAGGGCTTCAGCAACAACAGGATCCAGTTTTATTTCCATTCATCCGTTTTCTTCTGCTAATCCAATTCAGGGTCATCAGACAGTTGGTGCCTATCCCAGCCTCCTACACTGTGGACAGGTTTCAAGGGAGACAGAAAACCATTCAAGCTCACATGTGGCCAATTTGGAATCACCAGTTAAACTAAAATGTTTGTCTTTGCACATGCTCAGTGGCTCCTGTGGCTTCCACCCACAGTCCAAACTTCACACAGAATGCAATACATACATTCTTACCTTAAAGTCATCCCCTTCATGCTCTTTGAATTCGATAACTTAATTAATAGTGATGCAAATAGATAAATACTTACTTGTAGCACGTCACTACACACACACGTTGGGGTGGGTTTTTCTCTTCGTAGCTCAGAGGTTTGGTGTTTAATATATTTATTATTTTCCACAATGAAATACAAAACTACAAAGCATCAAATAAAAGTAAAAGAGGAGAGAAAATTTAAAATAAAAACCCACCCTAACAAACAACACCCCTGTTCGCTGTCAAGTAATCAAAAGTTTAAAAGGAAAAACTTTCAATTAGTGCAAAATAACACCAGCCAAGGTGTAAAGAATAAGAAGGAAGAAAAAATAAGCAAACAAATATGATTAAAAATAAATAAATAAATAAATAAAGGTCATTCCTGAACTTGTGTAGATGGTTGGTCAAAAAATACCAAAAAGGGTTTCCAGACTTTATTACATTTATTTACAGAGCCTCTCAAAACGAACCTAATTTTCTCTAATTTAAGATGAAATAAAACATCCTTAACCCAATGCGAAACTGTGGGCGGGGCTGCGTCCTTCCACTTCAAAAGTATTAGACGTCTTGCCAATAGTGTAGAGAAGGCAATAAGTCTGAGAGTGACACTCTCATTCCAAATATGCATGACGAAGCCTCACAGACATCCGTCCAGAACAAGACCAAAACACATGGATCAAGGTGGCCTCTGCCAATTTACATCTTTCGCACGTTGGGTCAATCTGGGGATACATCTTTGCCAATTTCGATTTGCTGAGATGAACCCTGTGCACTATTTTAAACTGTAGAAGGCAATGTCTTGCACACATGGAGGACTAGTGAATATTACTTAAAACATTGCCCCAGTCTGCTTCAGCAATACAGATTCTAAGATCCTCTTCCCAGGATCGCTTAATTGCAGACATAGAAGAAGAACCAAGGCGCAAAATCAGAACAAGTATTGATGGTATGGCCTTTTTCTTAGCCGGGTTGCAACACATAATGTCATCCATTACATCATTAGGGGGTCTATTTGGGAACCCTGGGATAGAGCCTGAAAGAAAGTGTCGTATTTGTAGATACCTAAAAAAATGAGAGGGGGGTAAGTTGTATTTATTAGTCAACTGTTCAAATGAGGCAAACGTGCCGTCAATGAGTAGTTCTTTTAAAGACCTCAGCCCTCGCCTCTGCCAGCCCTGAAATGTGGCATCAGACATTGAAGGGGAAAAAAACATAGTTGGAAGCTACTGGACTGCCTAAGCAGATCTTCAGAAGATTAAAATGTTTTCTAAGAGCCTCCCAGACCGACAAGATAGAAATATCTGGAGTTAAATTAAATTCCAAAAAGTAGGTAATTTGATCCGAAATAAATTCTATAAAGTTTTCATCACTTAACAAAAGAGAGTTAAATCTCCACATCCGTTTAGGAGACTCCATACCGGGTATACGCAGTGTCGATATTAAGGGCGCATGGTCAGATATTACAATAGGCTGATAATCACATGACTTAACAAGAGAGGTTAGTTTGTTATCAGTAACAAAATAGTCAATTCTACTGTAGGTTTGATGAGCATTTGAAAAAAAGGAATATTGTCTGTCTTGTGGGTGTAAAAAACGCCAAATGTCCGAGATGCCGTAGGTTGAAAAAAAGGACTGTAAATAAGAAGCTGACTTTGTTGTCGAGTATCCAGTTCTTACAGACGATCTATCCATCAGGGTCCAAGCACAAAGTCACCACCCATAATAAGTAAATGGGTATTCAAACGAGGCAGGAGGCCGAGGACGCTAATATAAATATATATTTGCTAATGTAACATTAATATTAAAAATTGATCCGGTTACTATAACGTATCGTCCACTTAAATCAGCCAGAGAGAAGAAGGGGTAAAAGGAACCCTTTTATTTACCAATATTGCTACAAGCTCAGAGGTTTGGAAGCAAAACGTTCCAGTGTTCATTTCCACTTTTCAGACATAATTTTGGGAGATATTTGCAGACAGCAACATGAAGATGAGAAACACTTGAAGTGTTGTAAAGGCCGTCACTGCTTGGTTGTGTTGTTTGGCCGTTTTTTTCCATACTGCATCACATTTGGCCGCGGTGAAGTCACCCAAGACTTCAAACCTTAACAAAATCCAACTGGGTGAGGTATATTAAAAAAGGCATCACCCTCCCCGTGCAGTTGCTATGATACAGGAAAGGGTAAAATAATTTTTAGTGGCAGGCTGGAAACTGGTTTTTTTCATGGCTGGAGGAGCTGGTCCTTTTAACATAGAGGTCTATGAGGATTGAACTGGCCATTAGAGGAAATGCAGTTTTTGGCTTCATTTTCAGCCTCAGGGAGGTTGTTGCCTGATCACGGTGAGCACGGTGTGGCTGTACTAGTGCAAATGTTTCAGACTTGCTGAGGAAACAAACAGGAGCAGCAAACACGTCAGTATTATCAGCACGTTTTCTCCCCGCCTTCTGCACTCAGCTACAGTTTCAGTGTTCCTGC